CATATAGCATTACACTAACCTAAGCTCTGGCATTGAGCGATACGTGTCGCGGCCAAAACAAGCCATTTTAAGCTGTGTCAATGCCGGCTTCATACTGGCTTCCTCCTACGTTTTTCTCCTGGTTATAAATACACCTCGTGAGTTAAACGCTCGCCGTTAGAAAACCCTCCTGCAATAGCCAGTTAAATTGCATTAGCCTAACAAGTTTTGCAGCATGGTGGGCAGGGAGCGGCGTGGAGTCCTGTGCGAGCGGTGGGAGGCGAGGGCTTGTTTGGGGAGCCCCGTTTTGGGTGGCTGGCAAGGGGTTAAGGCGTGTTTGCCTTGTGCAGATAGAGGAGCGGTTGGATGCCTCCCTGTGCAGGCAGCAAATGCATTGGCTGAGGTTGAGGGCGGTTCTCCTGCCGCAGTTGTTTTCTGTCCTGGACTTCGTTGGATCTGGAGCCTTTTAATTGCCTTGTCTGTAATCAAAATACAGCTTGTGTAATTCATGAAAAAGGACGTGACGGTGCAAGGCGAGTTGGCTCCTTGCCATTGGCTCATCAGGTGGCCAAGCACGGGACACGACTGGTAGCCCTAGCCGGCCAAGAGGACCCGTGGTGGCCCAGGCTGCCTCTGCTGACCTATGTTCACATGGACAGGGCTTGTTATTGCACGGTAGAAAGATCATGTCGATTCACGACAAATGGGTCCCAAAACCATGTGGGGACATCTGTCCCTGTACAGTGTATGTGCAGCACCTTGATGTTCTTAGGTGTAATTTAGAATTTCTTCTTAATGAGCTGCGTACCTCTTACCACACCTAAACCACCATCCATTTGATACTCATCCTGGCTCACCCTGGACTTGGTTATTTAAACCCATCCAGTGGCAGAGGATCCCAAAGGAATAGCAAAACTTACCCTGAGTGATTTTTATCTTTTTTTTTTTTCCCTTTTTCTGACAATTTACTGCTATTGATTTCTTAGCAGAAAGCAAGAAACAAGACCTACCACAAACGGTTTTAATCATACTTCAATATTCGGACAAACTGCATTTATTAGTTGAACAGCTTAATGCTTGACTTGCCTCCTAACTATGGATCTCCTGGTTACCTGCTTTGGCTCGGGAATGTGTTTACGGTATCAGCATGTTTTGTTTCCACCTGAAGCACAGGGAGGTGGCGAAACAGCACGGCAGCGATCCACGGAGGTAGAAATTCCTTTGCGCTGACTCTGCTGCCTTTTGCCCCCCCCCAGCCGGGCCTCAGCAGCCTGAAGAAATGGCAGTTTGAATCTCTAATCAGAAAGGTTTGTAAAATGCTTTGTTTCCCAAGTCTTTGGAGCCACTCTAGCTAGCTAGTTAAATATTTATTCACCCCTGGAACAACAGGTTGGAAGCTCTGTGTCGGCTCTGTTTCTCCCCCGTCCAGGGCAGATTAGTTAAGCGTTACGCTGTTTGTCATCCTTGGGACAGGGCTTTTAAAAGTCCTGTTCTTAAAGATCCGATGAAGAGGTTTTGTGGCTGTGATGAGCAGCTTTGTTCCGGTGCCGGTGCTGAAGCGCTTTTTCCTGCAGCAGCTTTTATGGTACGGTGTGGTGTGGCTTCTGCCCCTACCCCAAAATATCCATTCCCTTGTCTCTAGCTAGGATTTATGAAGTTCCCTTTTGACTTTCTCCTCTCTTTCCTTGGGCTGAGGGGGAGGCACCGCATTGTCCAGAAGTCCCGCAGCATTAACCGGAGCCTGGGGTAGCTGCTATGTCTAAGCACACCCTGTGCCTCCTCGGTTTGTACCGGACCATGCCACAGCTCCCAAAAGTCCGACCTCATTGCGAAGCGGCGAATCTACATGGGCCAGTGACAATTATTGGCATCCAAAAACCTCGATGACGAAGGGGTGATAAGGTGCACTTGGTCAGCACAAAGCTATTCCATGTTGTCCTGCAGGGAAAGCTTAACGTGGCGGCAGAAAAACCCGAACAAAAAATCCCATCTGACCCATCCAGAGTCATAGAGCCTGGATGCTGTAGTAATAGTTCTAAGAATCGGTCATGAAGATATGCTGGAGAGGTTGCTACATGACTTTCAGGTGCTTTCATGGCATGGATACCTTGATAATGTCAAGATGACATCTCATTAGGATCTTGTGTCATGAGGATTTGCACAAAATAGGGATTGACAGTTTCTGGTCTTCAGTGCTGAATGGAGAAAAAGATGTTGCCTTGGCTGCTTGGCTTCCTTCAAGCTGTCTTTTAGACATCAAAAGCTCATAGAACAGGAAAAAGAGAAACGTTAAGAACGGTTTAAAAATAGTTTAATCGTATCTTCTGAAAACCTTTGGAGTTGAGAATTTAAACAGTTTCTGCCCTGTGAATATTTGCAGCTGAGTTCAAAATGTGTAAATAAGCACAGGGCTTTGAAGATTCGTTTCCATAACAAATTAAAAAAAAATAGTGTGGCGTAATATTAAATAGGTGCCGTGTGTCACTGGGTGTTTTGCATGAGGGCCACCTTTTCCAAATTACCTGTCTGCTCCACTGACTCCTTGAGAAACAAATGCTGTCTTTCGAATATTTTAAACTTTGTGGTCCTTAAGCACGGAACGGACCCGGGGAAATGCCCTTTTGCAGAAAGTGCCGCTGATGAACGCTGTGCCTTGCGCTGCCAGCGCTCGCCCTCCAGCCTTGCACAAATCATTCCTGCCTGCGCTCGCCACCGCAGCTCGCTTCCCTGCCGGATGCTATCCCCGCTTCGGGGAGGCGTGTGCTGCCGCCAGCGCTGGGGCTAGCGAGCGTGGGAGCCCTTGCAAGACATCAGTGTGCCCGTGCTCGTTTGGGAGCGTGGGGAGGTGTGCGAGAAACAGCCCAGACTTTTTCCCCCACCATAAACCTTGGTATTTTAGACCAGAATTAGTAAGTTTGATGGTGATTTGGATTAAATGCTGGATTTTTCTGCCTTGTGTTTTTCTGTTGCCAGTATTTCTAATAAAGTGCAGCCATGATCTGTTGCTAGACTGTGCTCCATCCGTCACCTGCAAAAGAATTTACAACCATGCTTTTAAAACAAGCTTCTTTTATATGTAGTCTAATGCAAGGTATCATCTGCCAGTTGCTTCTATGGGGCTGTTGCGTTTCGATCAGTTCCTATTTGTGACAGGTTCACAAAATAAGACCTATTGCTAGAAAAGGGCAAAAAGTTGGTCACCATAAAAGAAAACTAATTTCAAATACATTCCTGTGTTTCCTGTTAATGGCTGAATCTTGAGGGATGCACAGAGAAAACACCTGCAGCGAATGACTGACATGGAAGCAGTAAGAGATTTGAGATTAAATTGACCTTGTGATAGAATTTCAACCTTATCCATTTCATATTTCTTCCAAGGATTTATCAGGCTCGAACAAACCAGAGGTTGCTCCTCTTCATCAACCTGTCTGCTGCAGCTACTGCCGCTGATTCCAAGAACGGCATTAGCCGCTTTAACACACTTAATTCCGCAATCCTTTAACGTGGGATGGAGCGTGGCGGAGGGGGATTTTCTGCCTAACCACAGCTGGGGATTTGATCATCAAAACACAGGTAGCACGCTGTGCTATGGGTCCTACGTGCTGCTCGTTTAGTTGACCATAACTAGTCCGTGTTCCACTCTTGGTCCAATCACACACATTAGTCAGAAATTAAAAATAACATTTTAGCCCCTGAATGTTGGTGTGGCTGGGAGCTCCCCAAATAAAGCCCCTCCTGCATTGACACTGAATATTGGACAGAAAGCTTGAGATGTTTTGAGGCAAATGGCGTTAATTCAGTGTGAAGTGACTTGGTCTGGCCTGCGTAGATCGCAGGAGGACTTAGCTCGGTCTTCCTTCACCGAGGGCGCTTGGGCAGGACATCAGAAGCCGTTCAGATCTGCCCTCAGACAAAACTCTCCTGTCTGGTGAGAAGGTGGTGATGTCTTGATCTGCGTCTTGGCAAGCCGCAGCTGTAGCCCAAAGGCTGTGCATCACCATGTGGATAAATCCAGGCCCGTGGCCCCTGTCCCTCATCTCAAGTTCTTCCTCCCACTGTTTAAATGGTGCTTGCTCTTGTCGTGGCGATTTCAGCTTTATTCGATGGAAGTTCTTTGGCATGTCCTGGATTAAGCAGTTGGATTTAATTGGCTCAGCCTCGTTTGAATCGTTCAGACTGAGTATGAAGGTGCTGAGTGGTAGAAGGGCAGGACCGTCCTTCCCCTCGGAGCTTCTCTGGGTTTGCTCAGCCTCCCCTCCAGCTCCTTGCTCAGCCTTAGTCATGGTGTTTGCTCTGAGCTGCTGCTTGGTTTCTGTTTCAAAGCCCAAACCACTCATTAAAAGTATTGTGAGGCACTAAGTAATGGGTAATTAAAAAGTAAACCATAAAAACCTCAAGCAATAATGCTCGTGGGTGCTCTTCTTGGACTCACTGGGAGAGTCACCAAAGAGCTCATGTGGGGTGCCAGGGCAGCAGGCTTCTTCCAGAGAAACCAGTGACAGGTTGATAGATTGGAAGCAAATCCTGATAAAGCTGAAGGGGTTTGTAAAAGTATTGTTGGAAGTGCGTTATTTGCAGCATTAATGTGGGAAGCTCAGTTTCTTAAACTAAGAAACTAGAATCTTCTGGCTGAAACTGGCTGTCTCAGGCTGGGAAGCTCTCACTGTAGAGCCTCATCACTTCTGGGCTTCGGAAATACTGTTGGAGACACCAAAGCACTCCTGGGAGCCTCGTAGTACTGGACCAAGAGAAGAGGAAAACTCTTGTTTTCTCTTTTTGAAGATGAGCACTAGTGAATCGTGAGGGTGGATGATAACACTCTTCAAAAAAGTGATCAAAATTTGGAATTTGCACTGAAAAGTGGAGGTGAAGGCAGACATCTCTGCTTTGTGGATGCCTCTTTCCAAAGACAGTTGTCAGGCCAAGCAGCATGAAGTGTCGTTGCTCGTAAGCCTTTCGCGGTCGTACAGCATCGAGTTGTCCTGTGTTGCTCAGTTGCCTTTTCTCTTTTCTCTTTGCAGTTTGTCCACCTGCCTGCAAGTCCCAAGGCTGCACCTCTGATGGTCAGTGCTGTCACAGCGAATGTCTTGGGGACTGCACGGAGCCGAATGACCCTGAAAAATGCGTGGCTTGCCGCAACTTCTACCTTGAAGGCAAATGTGTGGACACCTGCCCGCCCGGTTACTATCGCTTTGAGGGATGGCGTTGTGTGACCTTCAGCTTCTGCCAGGAACTGCACAACAAATGCAAAAATGCCAGGGAGTCGGGGTGTCATGTTATCCACAATAACGAGTGTGTTCATGAATGCCCATCAGGGTATATCATGAATTCCAGCAAGTAAGTACAAGTGTCTGCAGGTAAAGAAACCATGCTGTAGTTTTTGTACGGTGCTCTGTGTGGGTTTGTGTTCTGTGTCAAGACCAAGAAAAGTTTCCGGCATTGGAGCGTCTGTGACAATTACCTGGTCTGCTTTAATATGATTTGCAAACTAATACCGTGCTAATTCAAGCCATTAAAAGCAGACAGGTTGACCTACCGTGTGCCAGTAGTTTATTCTTCCCTTGGCTTCCCTTGTTTCCTCTCTCAAGTTTGGAAAAAAGTGGGAAAGGGAGATTGAAAGAGAGGACAAGGAGCATCCCCAGGTTGGAAGGGTCTTTCTGTAATCAAGTGGGACGAGGGAGATGGGCAATGGAGAGGCTTTAGTAGCCCTGCTTCCCTTCCTGTCCAAAGCAGACCTCAGACTAGAAAGCCGGGCTGTTAAGCAGAATGGGGAGAAGTAGTGTCTAATGAAAAGAGCACAGCCTATTTTGAGTGGATGGTTCTCAGAATATCTGTCCTTCATCCCTCTAATTACTTTCACTGAGCAGGTTCGAGCTGTGCCAGACATAAATGGACAAGGTAACAAACAAGCATAGCACGAATCAAAGCAGGGAACAGCCGCTCTGCCTGTTCCCAGGGGTTTTCGACAAAGGAATCAAATAATTCATGTTGCTGAGCTGTTTATCACTGAAAACTGTTGTTTGTCCCACAATAACATTATATATTGTGATGAGTCAGATTTCCTATGAATATCGGTAGCTTTGTGCTCGTATGTATTTGCTCCTGCCATAATAATTTCAGGGAATTCACTCAAAATGGGACTTTTTATTCCAATTTCCTGTTTTGCTTTTCAAAAGAATGAGCTAGCAGCCCCCAGAGTAGATACGCTGCTTGTGCAACAGCAACCATCGCCTCCCTCCGATGCTTGGTCCAGGCTGCTGTCAGTAGGACCTCACGTCGCTACTCCGTGCTTTTCCTAGAGCATTTATTTCTCTGAACTAGTTGGGAACACATTCTTGTGGTGTTATGACCAGGGCAAGCAATCCTCTTGCTGCCATTTAAGAACTATTTCCCCAGAGCACAAAGCACATGCTTGCTTGCCTTTTTTTAAAGCAACTTTATGTACAGTCCTTAATCAGAGGATTCCCAGATGAACAGCCAGTTCTCTGCTCATCAATTACACGTTTGGTTAACGAGCTTGGGATGGAGACTGGGCCTGGGTTTCTTGATCTTGAAACCCCTGGTATGTGTAGCACTGAGCAGCATCGTGGTGCCTGGGCTATTCAAAACAGTCCAAATCACTTCTTTCTGGTTTCGGTTATGCAGGAAGGGACAGAGCGATTAACGTTTGAAACGTGGAAATGACAATTTATAGAATTATCAGGATTTATTTGCCGTTCCTAAGAGCTGCTCTCTGCAAGTGAATCCCATGACATAGTGTCAGGACACCGTCGCTTTGAATTGATTACTTGGCCTTTGGGAATTGCTGGGGACGCCCCAGGTGACATTCTGCAAAAGCATCCCACCTACATTCCTGACTCTTGTTTTTCAGCTTGCACTGTACACCCTGCGCAGGGCCCTGTCCAAAGGTTTGTGACTATGGGAAAGAGAAGACGATTGATTCAGTAACATCGGCACAGGAGCTCCGTGGCTGCACAGTTGTTAATGGGAGCTTGGTTATAAATATCCGTGGAGGAAGTAAGTTCTGCATGAGTAAGGGGGTAGGGAGCACTGGATGTCACAGCGGTGAATATGACACCATCCATGAGCTGGGGCATTTCTCTTCTGCTTTGACCCCTCTGAATCTTAGAGTGACTCAGAAAAATAACAGCAAAGCAAAGGCTCTTGTGATGTTCATTTGGGGTTTTTTGCTACCTGATTTTTCTAAAGTCTTTCAAACTATTGTAAAGCAATTCTATTTAATAGAATCCGGGCTCCCATATCAGTGTTTTTCTCTGCGATATCAGAAAACTAACCCTGGTGTTTTCCTCTCCGTAGATAACATAGCAGCTGAGCTAGAAGCGAATCTTGGCTTGATAGAAGAAATCTCAGGTTACCTAAAAATTCGCCGGTCTTACGCCTTGGTTTCCCTTTCCTTTTTTCGTAAACTACATCTGATTAGAGGAGAAACACTAGAAGCTGGGTGAGTTCTTTCAAAAGATACTTCAATGCTTTGAAGTGTAAGGAGTGTCAGTGCTGTCAGGGTGATTTGTATTGGTAAACAATTCCTAAGTTATTTTTAAATGTTCCTCTGCCCATGGCTTAATAGTTTGCATTCATTTTGTTTGCATTCATTTTTCTTTGGTGTCTGGATTAGAGCATGAGGAAAATTTTTTTTAGAGAGTTTTCAGTGGATCCCCCTCGCAATCTGCATTTTCATTCTCTGCTTTCAGGAATTATTCATTTTATGCCTTGGACAACCAGAATCTTCGCCAGCTCTGGGACTGGAGCAAACACAACCTCACTATTGCACGAGGCAAACTCTTCTTTCATTATAATCCCAAACTGTGTTTGTCGGAAATCCACAAGATGGAGGAGATCTCTGGGACTAAGGGACGTCAGGAGAGGAACGACATAGCCCTGAAGACGAATGGTGATCAAGCCTCATGTAAGAAAGTCTCAGAATGCAGCGAGGCTTGCATCATTTTCCTTTGCCCCTGCCTTGCTAACCTCACACTCTTACTTCTCTCAGCCTATGATGTTTTTCCAGGGACTGTCCTTGTCCTTTTGGTAAAGCACCAGACATGTGACTCGCCGCTTGCTTGTGCGCTGCAGCGACACTGTCAATATGCCATGAGTAAAAGTACTTACGGGTTCTACCCCTGGCCAGCAGCCTGCCTTGCCAGCTTTGGTCTTCAGCAGTTTGCTCTCTGTGTGCTCAGCTGTGAGTTTTTCAGGGTTGAGTGTATTGTTGGGTCTTTTTGAAGAGTTTAGCACAACATAACCTCAGTCCAGACTGGGATTTTGTGTTACCGCTGAGTACCTGATGGATAGTCATCATCTTCTTTTCCCATGTCATGAGGCAACAGTGTGCACACAGCATAAACACAGGAGGGAAACAGGATTTTCCACCCATCTCTAGAGCCGTGTGAGGGAGTTGCTATGACAACAGTCAGAGACAATTTTTGCAACTATTTTTATTACGCTTCTCAGAGGTTTTAAGCTAACAGCTTTCTTCAAGAACAATGATAAGGCGATGCCTGTGTCAGCATGACAAGGAGCAAACACACGGTGTTGCTTTATGCTCTAACTAAAGTCATGCTACTGGAGATGTAGTTTTGCAGACACTTATTTCGGCAGCAATGCCACCATAAGTACATCCCTTCTGCACCCCCAATCCTGCTGTTTGTTCCTGTTCTGTGCCACACACAATCCCCTTTTCCTGTTTGTGCCAGAAAAGCTCTTACAGGGCTGCATGGTGAACCAGGTTGTAGCAGTAATCTGGGGTAAGAAAAGCAAGCTTTGTTGTTCTTAGCTTGTGTCATCTCTCCGCGCTGATTTATTGCTGAGCCCCACAAAGTTCTACGTGCACACAGGAGCAGGAGCGCCCACAGGTTGACACATGAGATGCTTAAGCAGGTATTGCCACTAAAAAAGCCCAGCATTCATTAAACTATGATTTCAGTTCCTTGCATTTCAGTTCCTTGCTCTTTTCACAGCTTGCAGTGCAGCTTAGATCATCCCGTGCCTGCAAAGTTTCTCTGCTTAAACAGCCCCTTCCCCTGTAGCTATTTGTGAACAGACTTAAAAAGTGAAGATCTTCCAGCTGAATCCATTTCCTGATCTGTTTTGCCACATATCAACACGTGCAGCCATGCCAGCACAGTGGGGAGAGGGGAACGTAATGATCGCCGGCCTAAAAACTGGCAGTACCAGTGAAAAAACCTACGTAGAGCTGCACCCTCAGGGACACTGCAGCTCTAGCCTGGGCAGAGTGAAGGAGGTACAAGGAATCAGCTGCCGGTTGTCCTGGTTTCGGCTGGGATAGAGTTAATCTAGAGGTCATCTCCTCCCATGAGACACTGACAAGCTCTGCCCTCATTTGGGGAGGAAACTTGATTTGGGGTTCAAATCCAGCTCTGCCGTGTGGTTGTGTGCAGCTCCCAGGCTGGCTGGTTGTTTTGTTTAAAGGCAGCTGGAGGACATGGTTGCATTTCCTTTTGCCAGCTTTAACTCCACTCTGCTGAGCTCTTCTTTGTGCCACCCCCCGACCCCAAACCACAGGTTGCCAGCGTGTTTGGCTTTTTATTTGGTTTTATACTTCAAGTCTAGTTTTCACACTGGCAGCATCCTGTTTACCAAAAAAAAAAAGGAAAAAATAGCCCTTGTTTGTTCTGGATGTGGCGGTAGAAATGAATGTTCTTCCTCCCTTGTGCAGCTACTGCAGCAATGGCAAATCCCATCAGAGCTTCACAGTCTGGCCTTCTTGGGCTGCTTGGACGCACCATACCGTAACGCGTCCCTAGAGCCTCAGAACTCCACCCTCCTGCAACTGCTTGTTGTCCTCCCCGCCGGTTTGCAACGGGACGATGCTACTGGGCAAGGCTGGGAATTCACGTGCTTTGCAGGCAGAGGCTGCAAAAGCTATGCAAACCACAGTAGTGTGTTCAGCGATATAGATCATCATGAGTTTTAAAATATATTGCCTTTAGATTTCCCACTTAGAATTTAGTTCAGCTTTGCTACAGGGTCATTTTCATAAAATCATAGAAAAATACAAACTGGCAGGAACCGTAGGAGGTCATGTGTCCCAACCCCTGGCTTAAGGCAGGAACAGCATCAAAGTAAGATAAGATTTTTCTCATATTTATCTGTGTGGAAAATAAACATCTAAGATAATTAAAAAATAGAAACCTTTCGGTTTTAGCATTAACAAAATTATTGTCGCTTCTCTTTTGTTACAGGTGAAAATGAATTGCTGAAGTTTTCTTCCATTAGAACATCTCATGACAAGATCCTGTTGAAGTGGGAGCCATACTGGCCTCCCGATTTCCGTGATCTCCTGGGATTTATGCTTTTTTACAAAGAAGCGTAAGTGATCCACCAGTAGGTTACAGAATAACAGCCGTGCTGGGCTTCCACAAACGGCAGTTGGCATTGAAGAGTAAACGTTAAACCTGCTGTAGGCATAGCTATTTAGTCTCTGTGATTACCTGGCTCCTACACTTAAGTTTCCAACGTTATCTTTATACAAAAGTGTTCGTTAAGATCCCTGGCTGGACTTGAGTTGTGTACAGTCAAAATTCCTCATTTAAGAGCAATCCAAACATGAGTTGTTCCAACTATTCTGGACATACGTACTCTAACCATGGAGTTTATCACCTCCCCACTATCTCCATGGGATGTTGAGGTTTTTACTCCCTTTGAAGTGGGAAACATTCTTTTAGAATCAATGTTATCGAGCTGATTTTCAGAAAGCTGAAAATAATTAGCCGGGGTTTAATTGTTGGGATCATCTGTGGAAGAGTACCTGATCTGTGGTGGTGTTAGGAGACTGGGTTGCAAAGCTCCCTAAAGCTTCCTTTTTGGAATACATACAAGGAGATAGTTAGGCTTTCTCCAAGGGGTAAAGGATTATAACGTTCAGTGATGTCTTTAGAAATGTTGGTTTTAAAAGCTTGAATTGGGATTCTGTTAATCTGAGGCTTTTCTTTTTTTTCTGAAGCCCATACCAAAATGTGACGGAGTTTGATGGCCAAGACGCTTGTGGGTCAAATAGCTGGACAGTTGTGGATGTTGACCCACCCCCACGGTCAAATGAGCCCAAAGCTCAGGCCCAGCCAGGCTGGCTTCTGAGGGGCTTGAAGCCTTGGACACAGTATGCTGTATTTGTTAAAACTCTGGTCACCTTCTCAGATGAACGAAGAACATACGGTGCAAAGAGTGAAATCATCTATGTCCAGACCAACGCTACTGGTCAGTATCATTAAATTAACGTTGCCTTGCAAATGAAAAAGAAAAATAGACTTAAACAGTCGTCTGCCTGGTAGTCATTATGGTTCCGTATCCATGAGACTTTCCCCTGCCACTGCTGCTCTACTTTGGTATTCCTAAACAAATGGAAGAACGTGTACTTCCCTGAGTGGGGAGATGGTGCCAACATGCACTTCTTCCATCAGGCCCAGGTGGCCACGTGTAAGATGTATCCTGCTGCAGGATGGTTGGGTGTCAGTGGACCTACTGTGGAGAACACTGTTTATTCCCATGGAAATGGAAACTTGCCCGTGTTTGTCCCTTGTCCTGTCAAGCTCTTGCAGAGCAGTAGAAGTGACCTGTGTCTCTTTTCCCACCCACGCAGTTCCGTCAGTCCCGTTAGATCCAATATCTGTTTCCAACTCTTCATCCCAAATCATTCTGAAGTGGAAGCCACCCTCGGAGCCCAATGGAAACATCACGCACTACCTGGTGTACTGGCAGCAGCAGGCAGAAGACAGTGAGCTCTATGAACTTGATTACTGCTTGAAAGGTGAGTGTGTCTGGTTCTCCCTGTGTGCCTTTCTTTCAAGCTATCTGAGAACTGTCTGGAGATTTTTTGCACGCTTTGGAGGTGCTCTGGATGGCTGATTTTGCCCATTTCCAGACTCTTGTTCAAGAAACAGGCTGAGATGCAGCTGTGTTCCCCCACTGTTCAGTTACATTATACATTAGGTGCTACTGCCAAGTTCAAAAGCTCTCCAAAAACATATTTTTAGAAAGTAATCGGATATTTTTTCCTTTGGGGGAAGGATCTCCCTTCTGCACTTGTTCCTTTTAAACTGAGTAACAAGTTTAATAACAGCTATGGAGATAGTAAGGGAAAATATCTCTGCTTCTGGAGATCAGTGGCCGGGTTAATTTTTGAAGGCATCCCATGCCTGTTTTGGAATTCTTTCAGGATACAGAGTTTCACTGAGGACTCCCAGAACTTTACCTGCTGCCCTGTGTTACCTAAACTGAGATGAACTGGGGTAGAACTGTGTTTGACTACAGCAGCACCCGAGCTCCATTTCAAAACCAGCACAGTTTTGAATCAAAGGCCTGTCACAAGAGAGGGAAGGCTGCCTGGCCCTGGATATGAAAGCTCAGGATGCCCAAATGTGCTATGAATCTTCTGTACCCTAGTTTGGGATCTTTGTGGGATCAGATATCTGCTTCTGCCAGGTCAAGCATGAGTGATACTAAAATTGTTTTGTCCGCAGGATTAAAACTGCCCTCAAGGACGTGGTCTCCTCCTCTTGAACCCGAAGACCCTCAGAAGTATAATCAAAGTGAAAACGAGGATGTGAGCGGAGAATGTTGTTCCTGTCCTAAAACAGACTCTCAAATACAAAAGGAGCTGGAAGAGTCTGCGTTCCGCAAGACATTTGAGAATTATCTTCACAATGAGGTTTTTGTCCCCAGGTACAAATATCAAACACTATTGGCCAGGTGGTCTGGGGTAGGGAAATGTAATTGATTCTTAAACAGAAGTCTTGGGCTGGACACGACCCTGTTGCCGATTTCTCTGGGCTTCCATGAGACCGTCAGTCCAGCTGAAGGTGTGTGTCAGAGGCTGGGGAGAGCTGAGCACCTGCAGCTGATGTTATTATAGATTTGGATGATCCTGCTTTTATTTCCTGTCTCTGAAATCTCAGCTTGAGAATGAAGTGAGAATCCTTAACAAATAGCTAAATGCCTGCAGCTCATTTAAACTTGTATGTTGCCAAAAATAGCGATTTTTTTTTTTTTCTCCTGTCCTAAAATTTTGTGGTCTTGCTTTTCATCCAGTTGAAAAGAAAAAGGGAAGTTTACCATGCCACAGCCTTGTCCTTTAGCATGGTATTTGCGGTCTTCCTTGCACTTAGTCTGGGAAATACCTCCAATACCATGAGGAATGCAACTGCTCTGGGTGGTGAATGTCCTGTTTTGAATGGCACACACAGTGTCACATTAAGTGGTATTGAATGTCTTCACACTTCATACGCAACTTACGGAGGAAGCACTGGGAATCAGCTTAGAGTCTCTAATTATTTACCCTCTTCACTGTGGTATATTTTGTGCTCTAAATTTATTCTCTGCTTACTGCCCTTAGCTACCAAACATTTATTTGCAGTTGTTTGACAAAAGGCTACGTTACTGCACTGAACGTTTTTTATTACTGAGGGCATTACTAGGCCGTGTCCCTTCTCGCCGAGCCCGCGGTTGTCACATGGAAGCTTGTGCAGGGTCCCTCCTTTTGCTAGTCCTTTGCTGTTAGTGCAGATCGGGACAAGTTTCAGTGTGCAAAACTGTGCCAGGATGCAACATATTCAAAAGCAGAGGAGAACCAAGCCCTGTACGAAAGCCAAATTCCTCTTGATGTAGGCAGACAATTCTGACAATCTGATTTCTTTTTTTTTTTTTTTTTTTTTTTTTTTCCTATTTTTATTGTGCAGCCAGCCCAGGATGCTTCTCAGGCCAGTTTCTGGGGTATGTATTTTAGGAAGAAACCAATCACCAGGATGTGCCACCTTGTCAGCCTGCTAAGGAAGAAATCTCCACTGCCCCTAGGCTAACTAATCCCTTTAATACGAGCCCTCTTTGCTGTTGTAAGTCAGCAGTAAAGATACCGTCCTGCTGACGGGCATCCTGCTTGTCTTTGTCGACAGGCTCCAGGCTGTGGCAACATAAATTGGAGTTAGTTTTCCTGTGAATCCCATGCCTATTGCCTGCTCGTAGGGCAGCGTGGCTAGAGCCTGGCAACTGAGCATGAAGCGTGTTTTACTTCAGGGGCTTTTGATGTGCCTCCTGATAGTTTATCGACCGCCCCCCTGGCACGGCGCGGACTCCCTTTGAGATTCGAAGCTGCCTGCTATTCGCAGGGAGGAATCTCACAGATGAGAATATGAGGGAACATGAGATGGCAGGGGTGCAGAAGACAGAGCGGTTGAGAAGTTACTCCCCTTACATCTTGTCTCCTTGTTTTCCGTGTACCATTTTTCTCCTCGTGTCCTGTTCCCAGCTATCTGATCCCTGTGCAGTACCCAGTCCGTACGAGGCTCTGCCGCCGATCTGCCATGCTCTGCCTTAGGCCAGGTCTGATCTCACCTGACTTGCCGAGAACCCCTCTGGAAATCATAGAAGCTGTTCCTCCCCCGTGCACATGGTTGATTACTCTAGGAGATACTATCACAAGTCTTGTGGGTTAATTTGCTCTGGCACTGGAAAGGCAAACTAGAAGTTTCTAAATGCTTCTTGCCATGCCCTCCTTCCCAGTCAGAGGTAACGGATGTCTACACCACGTGCTTTGTAACCTCCCTTTGTAGCTGAACAAAGTGGCCATCAGAAGCTGATGCTTTGTTTCTTCTTTCCTGTGTTATTTGCTCTTCTACTGGAACAAGTTTTGCACCGATTGGAGCAAACGGGTGATTGTATGCTGGGACAGGTTGCCCACAGGGAGGTTGTGGAGTCTCCTCCATCCTTGGGGATACTCGGAACCTGACCAGACACGGTCCTGAGCAACCCACTCCAGCTGCCCAGGCTTTGAGCAGCCTGGTCAGGTTAGACAATCTCCAGGGGTGCCTTCCCACCTCAACCACTCCATGATTCTGTGGAAAGCATGGAAGGATTTCAAAAGCAGTAAAAGTCCTGAGAGGCAGAGGGGAGCTAAATGGCTGCGGCTCAGGGTGTGATTTCACGTATACTCTCAGCGTCACTACTGCAGAAAAAGCAGTCTCACCCTTCTCTCTGTCTCTGTCCTCTCTCTGTATCGCACACTTGTGCCATTACAAATACTCATGGGTTACAGAGGAACAAGATCTGGGAGATGACTCACGTTAAAAGTAACTTTTTTTTTTTTTCTTGGTTTCCCAGTTCAATCCAATTCATTGTACAGCCACATACATGGGCTTGTCCAGCCTGGAGAAGAGGAGGCTGTGGGCAGAGCTGAGTGTGGCCATTCAGGGCTTAAAGGGGGCCCATAGGAAAGGGGGGGAGAATCTTTTTAGCAGGGCCAGCTGTGACAGGGCAAGGGGGGATGGCTTTAAACTAAACCGGGGTAGGTTTAGACTGGATCTAAGGAAGAAATTCTTTACACTGAGGGTGGTGAAACCCTGGAACAGGTTGCCCAGAGAGGGGTGGAGGCCCCATCCCTGGGAACATTCCAGGCCGGGTTGGATGGGGCTGTGAGCAACCTGATGTGGTTCAAGGTGTCCCTGCTCCCTGCAGGGGGGTTGGGCTTGGTGACCTCTGGGGGTCCCTTCCAACCCAAAACATTCGATGATTCTATGATAAAAGCTTTTGCCAGCACAGGGGGGAAGACAGGCCGGCTGTCCCTCTGCTAGTTTCAGGTGTGTGGAAAAATTTGGCTTAAGCTAGCTAAGGCATTTTTGAAGTCCCCCAGCACAGGCCGTACTGAATGTGATGAGTTGTCGCTTCCGTCCTTCCACCTGAGAGCCTTCACACATGCTGGCAGGAGGAGGAGAGGGAACCTGAACCTTGAGTATTTCACAGGGAAAGTCATTGAAATGGCCTTACCTGAAAATTGCACTGGAACATCTATGGGAGGACATCAGGTGTTTGAAAATACAGAGAATTTGGCAAGAAAATTGCTGCAAATCTGGGATAATAAACATGTGAAGACAGGGCTTTCCAGCTTCAAAAGCTTTTCTCGCTTTCTCTTACTTGAGAAGGGAGGAATTATTCTTGCATTTTACTCTGTTGCATCAGTGGTCAAATTACTGTTTTACTTGTGAAAAACAAAATTCTCTTAAACATGAGGGAAAAGCTGAATCCACACTTTGTAAACAGTGGCGCGTAGCTTTGCTTTTAAGCCCAAACAAGGTTCTGGTTGACCGTAAAGAATCCTTCCAAAGGAGGGAGGTGGCACGACCCAGACCTGGGTCTCTGAACTCTGCCCCATTGTTAGGGGACACTGTTCAGAACAATGCAGGAGCTGAGATAACGGCAGCTCCAAAATGAGTTAATTAGTAATTAGAGAAAGAAAAAACTAAAAACTGAAACG